GCTTGGTCAGGCATCGGAGACTCCAATGTTGTCCACTGCTTCCCAGGCCATCACCAGTCATCTTGACTTTTGTCTTGCCATTGGACTTCAATGACTCTGGAAGAGTGAGGCTGATGATTTTGTGTAACTGCCTTACTTAAATCCAATTCATGCACAAGTCAAGACCACCCCATGATGTCACTTGTACTCTTTGAAAACCAAGGACGAACAACAATATATATTATACCATGCTACTGCTTCTACATACATTATCTTATCTGATCTTCACAGTGTTCCTATGAGGTAGGTTCTAATAGTATCCTCATTTTATAGGAGGAAAGTGAGGCTTAGAAAGATCCTTTAGTCTTACTTAGTTACATAATTATTCGGTGTCAGAGAGGGGATTCAAACCTTAGGTGAAGCAGTGGCTAGAACGTTGGACGCAGAGTCAGAAAGTCCTGAGTTCAAGTGCAGCTTCAGACACTTGGTAGCTAGGTGACCCTTGCCAACTCATTTGTCCTCTATTTGCCTTAGTTTCTTCATCTGTAAAATGGGAGTGGTAATAGCATCTACCTGCCATGATTATTATGAGATCAAACGAGGTAATAATTGTAAAGCCCTTAGCAAAGTACCTGACACATGGTTGGCTGTTGTCCTTCATTCTCGTAGACCAAAATCTGGCACATATTAAATACTATATAAATGTTAACTGCTATTGTTGTTGTTGTTGTTGTTGTTGTTGTTGTTACTGCAGGTTCAGCTTTATCCACTAAGTCACCTTGCTTCCTTATAAAAGAAGAGAGTCAGATCAGATTATTTCTAAGATCCCCTCTAGATCTAGATAAGGCCTATTACCTTGTTGTCCTTACTGAAATGCAGACTAAAAGTTGATTTTTCTGCTCCCTTTCTCTGATTTTTTTTTCATCTAAAAGCACAAAAATATCATTTTGTTGTTGACTAGGCTTTAATGGTATTAGACCTGAGATATGATAGGAGTCTCATGGATTAAAGCCTTGGGAACAGTTCTACAGGCATACCCCACATAACTGTTCAAAATGCGCTATAAATCATGTAACAAACATTTCTCATGCCCTCTTAAGGGTGCTGATAGGGAAGGAGATTGGTGCGGAATCATGGGAAGAAGGGAAAGTGTATGTGGGCATACAGACACTGAAAATCCCAGAATTTCTATGTCCTCTACTCTTCTAAAGATTTTCTTTCCCAAGTTTCAAGGCACAGGATAGAAATATACAGAGGAAGGGCTGACATGTCCTGTCAACTGCAGAGAACACTTGGCTGCTATGCTCAGACTGGAATTTTCAGTTATGGACTCAACCAAAGCTGGGACCTGAGTCTCAAAGCACTGTTTTAAATTCCAGGTCCTCAGCAAAATTAACAAGGGGGATTCCAGAAATGCCCTAAGTAGGCACCATGGAGTTCTCCGCCTTTCCTTGGGGTCTCCAAGCAATGTAATTCTGAATTCTTCCCTTTTCTCTCTGTAAGACACCTACCTATGCACATTTTATTGCATAGGCTTGGCTAGTAAATTCTTTTTTTGTTTGTTTGTTTTGTTTTGTTTTTAAATTTTATTAATTTATTTTGATTTATCAACAATCACTTCCATTTGCTTTTGAGTTGAAAATTTTTCTCCCCCTTCCTCCCCCCCACCCTCCTCAAGACAGCACACAATCTAATATAGGCTTTACATTTACATACCCATTAAACATATTTTCATATTAGTGAAGTCGTAAGTAAAAAATTAAAACCAATAGGAGGAACCATCAGAAAGACGAAACAAAACTCAACAGAAGGTAAAAATAAGTGATAGCGATTCGACTTCCATAGTTCTTTCTTTGGATGTGGACAGCATTTTCCATCCTGAGGCCTCTGGAGATGTCTTAGATCCTCGTAATGCTGAGAAGGGTTCAGTTTAACATTCTTAGTCATTGCATAACGTGGCTGCTATTGTATACAAATTCCTCTGGGTTCTGCTCACTTCACTCAGCATCAGACCATATAAGTCTTCCCAGGTTTTTCTGAAGTCAGCCTGTTCATCATTTCTTATAGCACAATAGTATTCCATTACATTCATATACCACAACTTGCTCAGCCATTCCCCAATTGATGGGCATCCTCTCAATTTCCAATTCTTTGCCACCACAAAAAGAGCTGCTATGAATATTTTTGTACATGTGGGTCCTTTTCCCATTTGTTTGATCTCTTTGGGATATAGCCCTAGAAGTGCTATTGCTGGATCAAAGGGTATGCACATTTTTGTAGCCCTTTGGGCATAGTTCCAAATTGTTCTCCAAAATGGTTGGATCATTTCACAACTCCACCAACAATGTATTAGTGTTCCAATTTTCCCACATCTTCTCCAACATTTATCATTTTCCTGTTTTGTCATGTTGGCCAATCTGATAGGTTGTTTTTATTTGCATTTCTCTAATCAATAACGATTTAGAGCATTTTTTCATATGACTATAGATGGCTTTAATTTCTTCATCTGAGAACTGTCTGTTCATATCCTTTGACCATTTATCAATTGGGGAATGGCTTGTGTTCTTATAAATTTGTCTTAATTCTCTATATATTTTAGAAATGAGGCCTTTATCAGAGAGACTGGTTGTAAAAATTCTTTCCCAATTTTCTACCTTCCTTCTAATCTTAGTTGCATTGGCTTTGTTTGTGCAAAACCTTTTCAATTTAACGTAATCAAAATTATCCATTTTGCTTTTCATAATGTTCTCTGTCTCCTGTTTGGTCATGAATTCTTCTGTTCTCCATAGATCTGATAGGTAAACTATTCCTTGTTCTCTGAGTTTACTTATGGTATCAGCCTTTATATCTAAGTCATGAACCCATTTTGACTTTATTTTGGTATATGGTGTGAGATTTGGGTCTATGCCTAGTTTCTGCCATACTCTTTTCCAGTTTTCCCAGCAGTTTTTTTCAAAGAGTGGGTTCTTATCCCAAAAGCTAGGGTCTTTGGGTTTATCAAATAATAGATTACCATAGTCATTGACTACTGTGTCTTGCATATTTAACCTATTCCACTGATCCACCTCCCTATTTCTTATTGGCTAGTAAATTCTTGGGAGTCATCTGTAAGATAAGAGAAACTTCATATAAAGCTTATCTATAAAACAAGATAAACATTATATTCTCCAGTATTGATATTGTTACCCTGTCATAAATTAGGGGTGAGTGAAATATAATAGCTTCTTTAAACAACTAACTTATTGCCATGATGAGTAGAATCTGAAATAAAGAGGCTCGCCCTGGAGGTCAAAGTCCTTTCTCAATCTGGATGGCTTTGCCAAAAACTGTGATGGGTGAAATCTGAAATAATTATGAAAACAAAGGTTCAAACTTCTGAGCACATCAATTTATTGAGCACATCGATATTATTGTGCATGACAAATGTATGACAAATCAGGATCGGGTCTCCTCAGCGTGGCAGTGGACCCTGAAATCAGGGGGAGCCAGATTTTTATGGATTAAAATAAAACAATTAGCGGGATATAAGCCAAAGTATAAGATTAGACAATCTGATTTCTAATTGGAGGAAAGATTAGAAGCTTTCTGAGTTGCGAGGGAGATGAGCTAATGCTTCAGGTGCAATACTCTGAATTAGAAAAAGAAATGTCCCACTCTTCACCCCTGCCCCTGGCTCTTCGCTCAAGTGTCTGTATTCAATCAAAAGAAGAAGGAAACAGTAATTGATTGACCAGTGCAGGGCCAGTTTTCAGATAAGACATATGGGTTGCTTGAGATGTATAATTATGAGCAAACTCCTTGCATCTATCTTTGGATCTGACTGGGTTTCTGGTCCATATAACTGAATTCCTTAGTTAAGAGTCTTTAAACAATAAGTAGCGTGGTCAAGCTTCCCTACACAGGTCTAAGTTCAAACAATGCAATAAAATTTTCTCACAAGACAGAAATTGGACTAGAGTAGACCCATAATTGGATAGAAAGGGAACTGAGCTAATCACAAGATGGAGTCAGTGTGATTCACTCAATTCCCACAATTCCCACACTACCAAGGAGTAAAAAGTAAGCCCTAGGAAAAATGGGTCTTGCTAGTAATACTCAGTGCCTTACAATATATTGACCTAATATGACAAATGAACTTTGTTTTTGTTGTTCAGTTGTTTCTAGTCATGTCTGACTCTTTGTGACCCTATTTGAGGTTTTCTTGGCAAAGACTCTGGAATAGTTTGCAATTTCCTTCTCCAGTTCATTTTACAGATAAGGAAACTGAGGCAAACAGGATGAAATGACTTGCCCAGGGTCATACAGCTGGTAAGTGTCTGAGGCCACATTTGAACTCAGGAAGATGAGTCTTCCTAACTGCAGGCCTGGCACTCCATCCACTGTGCCATCTTGCTGCCCTGACAAATGGAGATTTAGGAGGAAATAAAGGGTAAAATGATTTTCTGTCTGAATAATAAATACATATTCATGAAATGACTATCCAGGCAATGTTCTTCTGTTTAGGACCAGTGCTACCAACTTGGCAGGGCTGCTATTTAAGCAAATAAATCCCAAGAACAACTGAACACCACTAACAGGAAGCAGCATTACTAACAGAGTTACCAGTCTCTGGAAGGGACAGAAAGCTAGCTGGAGTGTACAGTATGTGACTTTAAAAATAGTTGTGTCTCACACAAGTGATTTTATCTCAGCACAGGAATGTGGAGAAGCATTGGTGCATCCTCACATCCCCTGAGGCGGGTTGCTTTGATGATGTAACAAATTAGCAAAAGGCTAAGTGGAACCCCAATAAACAAGCAGACTTCCTTCTCATGGTTGTCAGAGGGGTAGAGAGACAGAGGAGGAAATTGGAAAATAGAAAAAGAGGCAGAGGAGACAGGAAGGATATCAGTAGAAAAGCCCCCCAAATGCTTCTGCCAAGAGGAACTAGATGACGGCTCCCCCAAAAGTAAGTTAAACAGTTAACTAGGATCCTATCAGAGGGAAGCACTGCATCATTTTTCATTTCCTTATTGTGAAGGATGGGACTTTGGAAGCAATGTCTTTTTGTGCTGGCTCTCCTTATAACCGTGATTTTTGTGTTCTTTTATAATCGTAAATTGCTGGTACAAAAGAGGATCCAGAGAACAACTATTTAGAATGCTGCTGAATTAGCAGAAGTCTGTAATCAAATTATAAAAGGAGAGACCTTTCTTTTGAACAAAAGTGTGCTAAGAACTTCAGACAGTGTGATTACCTGTAGCCAACAACTGATTCAGAATCACTATATAACAAAAACTCTGTCAGAAGAAGAGCTCAAGTTTCCTTTGGCCTACATAATAGTTATACACAAAGACTTCGAAACCTTTGAGAGACTCTTCAGGGCAGTTTACATGCCCCAGAATGTTTACTGTGTTCATGTGGATAAGAAGGCAGCCCTTGAGTTTTATGTAGAAGTGGGAGAATTTCTGAACTGTTTTCCCAATGCTTTCCTTGCCTCAAAGATGGAATATGTAGTCTATACTGGAATATCCAGGCTCCAGGCTGACCTGAACTGCATGAAAGACCTTGCAGCCTCTGAGGTTCAGTGGAAGTACATTATTAACACTTGTGGGCAAGATTTCCCTCTGAAAACCAATAAGGAAATAATCCAGCATTTGAAAGGATTTAAAGGGAAAAATGTCACCCCAGGGGTGCTGCCTCCTGAGTATATGATTTGGAGAACTAAATATAGCCATGAAGAGCATGCGGGTCCAGTTGTATTTTTTATTAACCAAACCCGGACATTAAAAACCCCACCTCCCCACAATCTGACCATTTACTTTGGTTCGGCTTATGTTGCCCTCATCAGGGATTTTGTCAACTTTGTTCTCCAAGACCAACGGGCCATTGATTTATTTGAGTGGTCTAAGGACAGCTACAGTCCTGATGAGCACTTCTGGGTGACTCTCAGTAGGAATCCAGGTATGTGTGCCTCACATGTGCTATTACTTTGAATAAAGAAACATGAACAAAAATGTTGAAATCTTTATGTTGCAGGAACGAAAGATGCTATACGAAGTGATATACAGAAAACATGTCCTTATAGAATGAAACACAATCTCTCATGAAAGAGAAACTTCTTAGCGTGGGAAAATAAGCAGATGTTTCTGTAGAATATAATACCTATTTTCAAAGTTTGGTTCTGTCTTAAGATACACTTATTTCAAGCAATTTAGGAACCATTGGTATGTAGTTGTAGACCTAATTCTCTCTCTAGCATGAGGGCATTTAAAATTAGGTACTAGAATTTGGGGCAGCTAGGTGGTGCAGCTGGGCCCGGAATTAGGAAGACTCTTCTTCATGAGCTCTAATTTGGCCTCAGACACTGTGTGGCCCTGGGCAAGTCACTTAACCTTGTCTGCCTCCATTTCCTCATCTGTAAAATGAGGTGGAGAAGGAAATGGCAAACTTCTTCAGTATCTTTGCCAAGAAAACTCCAAATGGAGTTAGGAAGAGTCAAACACGACTGAACAGCAACTAAAATTTAGGAATAAGGATTCAGACCCTCATCACCTCATGTTTCTCCATTTTATTCTCTATATTGCTGCCAGAGTGATTTTCATAAGACCTCTCAGACCTCTACTCAGTAAATTCCAGTGGTTCCACTATTACCTCTAGAATAAAATATGAACACCTCTGTTTAGCTTTTACAGCCTTCCACAGCCTTGCCCTGCTTATCCTTGCAGCCTCCTTGTACTTGCTCTCCATACTCCCAGATCCAGCCAGACTGGCCTTCTCTGTCTTCTTCATATATGACAATCCATCTCCAGTCTCCACGTTTTAATACTAGCAGCCCGTCATGCCTGACCTCCACCTTATAGAAACATTCTCTTTGAATATTTAGCTCATGTACCACCTTCTATGAGAAGCCTTTCCTTATTTCCTGTTCCCCAATTGCTAGTGCCCTCTCTCCCAGACTACTTAGTAGTTAACCATTTTGTCTTAATTTGTATTTATTCTAATAATATTTATTCTGAATGTACATACATCTATATTTCATGTCTCCCCCCCAACAGAATGTAAGCTCTTTTCAAGTGGGGATTGTGTTATTCTTCATATTTCTACCCACAGCACCTAACACTATGCCAGACAGTTAGATGATGCAGACTGGAAAAAGGAAGACCTGAGTTCAGATTTGACCTCAGATCTGTATCAACTCTGTAACCCTGGGCAAGTCACTTAACCTCTGTTTGCCTGAGTTTTCTCATCTGTAAAATGGGATTAATAGCACCTACTACCCAGGGCTGTTGTGAGGATCAAATGAAATAATAGTTGTTAAGTGCTTAGCACACAGTAAGTGCTAATATAAATGTTTATTATTATTAGAATGTAGTAGGTATTTAATAAATTCTTATTGATTGATGATTTGGAAGTTTTTTTCTTTAAACAAATCCTTCCTCTCCTCTGCTCCCAACTTCCCCCACAACTAAATCCCTCAAAACTGAAAAACTGAATTTTGATAGTCTTTGAAAAGGAGGAGAATTAGGTCAGCTGAACTTCCCCCCCTTCTTTTGTTAGAACATTATGGGACTCCTTTGCTCAAACAACTAAATGTTTTTTACTCTTTTCCAGTTTCCTCATCTGTAAAATGGGATAATATTACTAATAATAATATCTACCTCCCAGGGTTGTTCTGAGTATCAGATGTTGTGAGAATAAAGTTTGTAAAGCACTTTGTGAACCTTAAAGAGTCATATAAATGCTAGCTATCCATACTCTCAACATTCCATCCAAACCAACCTTCTTCATGGTCCCTGTAGGTAATGTTCTACCTCCAGCCTCTTCAGCCTTGTCAATTGTCCCCCATGCCTGGGAATGCTCTCCCTCTATCCCTCCATTTCTTGGAAGTCCTAGCTACCTTCAAGGCCTGGTTCAAGTGTCACAGCCTTTTTTTAGTGTCTTATTGTGTGAAGCACTTAGCCAAGTGCCTGGCAAATAATAGGCACTTAAACATTTATTCCTTCCTGCCTTCTGCTCCTTCCCCTTTGCTGTGGGGTTTCTTGGGATGTGTATTCCTGTTTATATTTGTCTGTGAACATATGTCTCTTTTCCCTTTAAAAAAGTGTTTCTTTGATTTGTTTTTTAAACATTTTCATCCTTCTTTATGCATAATTCCAAATTGCTTTCTGGAATGGCTGGTCCAAGTTTGCAGCTCTTCCAACAACCTGTTAGTTTGCCTATCTTTTCACAACCCATCCCATACTGACTATTCCTATCTTTGTTGTTGCCATATTTGCCTGTTTTCTGGGCATAAAATCAACTTCAAAATTTTAATTTCTTTAACATTTTCTGTCTGTTATCAGTCATTGATTTTTCTATGGTGTCTTGTTCTAAAAGTGCTTCTTACAGTAAATCATTTCCCTTCTGTAAGCCCAGACTGTGGTGCCTCTCTCTCAGCCCTGTCCTGGGCTTTGCTCTCTCAGGGAAGTTCCGTGGCCTACAAGGGGCAAGGCATCTCCTCGGAACGTTGCTGCAGGGAGGCTCTGAGAGGCTTCTGTAGTTGGACCTCATCTCCACCTTTCTTAGTCTCACTCTTGTGAGTTCCTCTCTCTTTTATGAAGCTGACTTTCTTTAATGCCTAGGCTGACCCCAGGTAACTGTTTGGGAAATGACTGAGGGAAGGCCCCCGAGGGAAATTCTGAGACACATTTGCAGTTAGGTCTCTTTTCTTTCTTTCTTTTTTTTAAATTAATTAATTTATTTTTGGTTTTCAAGATTCACTTCCATAAGATTTTGAATTCTAAATTTTCTCCCTCTCCCTTCCCTCCCCCCTTCCCAAGATAGCATGCAGCCTGATATAGGCTCTACATATGCATTCATATTAAATATGTTTTCACAGTAGTCATGTTATAAAGAAGAATTAGAACAAATGGGAGAAACCACGAGAAAGAAGAAACAAAACAAATTAAAAAAGAATGAGCAAATTGTATGCTTCGATCTGCATTCAGATCCCATAGCTCTTTTTCTGTATGCGGACATCATTTTCCATCGTTAGTCTTTTGACGTTGTCTTAGATAATTAGGAATAATAGATAATTATTTTTCAAAATGCTTTTTTGTTTGTTTTGGTTTTTTGTTGTTGTCGTTGTTTTTTGGTTGGGCAATGGGGGTTAAGTGACTTGCCCGGGGTCACACAGCTAGTAAGCGTTATATGTCTGAGGTTTGAACTCAGGTCCTCCTGAATCCAGGGCCTGTGCTCTACCCACTGCGCCACCTACCTGTCCCAATAATAGATAATTATTAAAGGTAATTGTCTTAAATAATGAGATAACTGGACCTGAGAAAATATGTTTCTCTCATTCCTTCTGGTGATTGCCTGTTTCCTCTGTAACCAGCCCCTTTTGGCCTCTTTCTGCCACAGGCTTCTCCTATCATGCTCCATGACCCTTTATGGTCACTCCTTTTCCTTGCTCTCGTGCCTCAGGGTTGGTTTGAATCATGGGCTTCAAACTACTCAGGGATCTGGGTCCCCATGTGCCACAGAAGGATGTCGGGCCTCAATTACATTCTTTTTCCCTAAGAATTACCTGTAGTTTTTTCTCTCTAATTTTCCTCTTCTTGTCATGGTTATGTTTACTCTCATTGATGGGGTGGGGCCAGGCTGGGCAGGGTGATGAAAGTGTCGGTGGAGGGGTGGGAGGTAGCTTGATAGCACAGTGGAGAGGGAAGACTTCAATTCCATCCTGCTTCAGACACTTGCTGGTACCATGACCCTGGGCAAGTCACTTAAACTATCTCAGCCTCAGTTTCCTCATTTGTTAAATAGGTATAGTAATAGCATCTACCTCACAGAGTTGTGAGGTTCAAATGAAATAATAGATGTAAACTGCTTTGCAAACCTTGAAAGTGTTGTATAAATTCTGCTATGATTATTAATTATTATTATTGGCAGTGGAGGGAGAACTGTGACCTAGTTTACTTTCTCACCCTACTACCTTCCCAGGATCCATGGTTCTGAGACTTTTTTTTAACTGGACCTGTGATTTCATTAGTGTAGGGAGTTTATGGTAAAGCACTTCCTCTACCATTGCTGTTCAATACTTGCCCTGTAATTTCTAGATTTAGGTAGTATCCTGTGGCACTGAGAGGTTAAGGTGTCTTGCCCAGGGTCTTGGGTAAGCCTAGATAATCTCAACTCAGAGAAGTTAGAACTATCCATTATACTAGGCTTCCTTTCTACATATATTATTAGTATAAATAATTTATATCATAAGTGTATCAATTGTACTGATATGTACACTTCCAGGAAATAAGAATTGTTAGCAAGGCATCCTGGCTCAGGAATGCTTCTAGAAAGTAGTAATGGATCAGAAAGGGTTAGTAAGGAGGTGTTCTCCTTAAGGATTCAGTACCTCTTTTATCACAGTCATATACTCCAAGTGTAAACTATCTAGCTCCAGAATAGGGAAATGGACTGAGACAATAGACAGAGACAATAAACAGGAAACAGACATCTTCATCCCTCTGACTGCCTTCCCCAGATGGAAGACCAGCAGAGCAGATACACAGAGAGGCCTTAAGTCAAGCACCATAACTGTTACCAAGCCACACAAAAGTCCCAGTTCAATCTTTGACTCGATATCTCTATCTCTGTCTTTTTGCTTCTCCTCCTCTCCCTTCCCGTCCCTCCCCCACCTCTTTCTTTTTCTCTCTCCCTCCTCTCTTTCATTCTTCTCTCCCACCTCTATTTCCCCTCATATGCAATTTCTATGCAAACTGCACTATTTTATTATCTAGTTTTCTAAAAAGATCCAATCCCATTTGTTCTGCTTCCTTCCCTTAATTACCTTGGCAAGCAAGCAGGACAGAGGAGGTGATATAATCATCCAGTATCCTGTCCCATCTGTTCTCTTTCCCCAAAGTAGTCTCACTTCCCCTTCCCCACCCCCACATCCTCTATATTGACTTATTCAGTTCATCATACATTTTCAAACAAGAGTCAAAACTTATTTGTAAGAATTATTTGCTAAAGAAGTAAATCAAGTAAAATTCTTAATGAGAAAACTTTAGGGGAAAAATGAGGTTTTACCCAACTGAAACTGAAATCAGTCAAGCTCAGGTGGGATGTTTTGTAGGTATTTTCCCCAGGGTTAAGAGTGTTAGAAAAATGTTTCCCAAGTCATTTGACATTCACAATTAAGGGAAGGGAGACGAAGGACAGCTGTGCTCCTCGTGGTGTACTTTTAGAAAGGTTCAGTGAGCACAAAAGTCTCCCCTGAATGGGCTTGGTTAGTTACGCACGTCCTGTGCCCATTTTCAGAGAAATTTCATTCCTGGCCCAAATTACATCTAGGTGTGAGTGTTTGTGTTGGGGGAAAGTGTGTTTAAGGGGAAGGCCCAAAACTGAGGATGTCCAATAAATATGATAAAAGACATTTTCTCATATTATGCCATTGACAAATATCTTACTCACTTGATCCATTCAAAATCAGGCATCATGTACCATTTCCAATCTAAGGAAATAGTTCTTCAATTTTGTGGGTTCTGCTGGGAGAAAGTTAATAATCAATTCCATAGAGGCAGCTAGGTGGCACAGTGGATTAGAATGCTGGACTTGGAGTCATGAAGAACCAAGTTCAAATTCTGCCTAAAACACTTACTGGCTGTGTGACCCTGGGCAAGTCATTTAACCTCTGTCTGCCTCAGTTTCCTCATTTATAAAAATGGAGAATATAATAGAAATTACCTCCCAAGACTGTGGTGAGGATAAAATGAGATAAAAATTTATAAAGTGCTTAGCATAGTACATGGTACATAGCAGTTACTTAATAAATGTTTATTTGCTTCCTCCTTTGATATTTGTGTACTCAAAATCATCTATGCACTCGTTGATGTTAACTTTCTCTCCTGCAGTGATGATTTGAAATCTACCCACACTGTTTCAACCTGTATGACCTTTGTCCACTTCTTCAGGGAATCTTTCCAATATTCTAGGGGACTTCCTTCTAGAGCTCTTGATATCCCAGTGGAGCACATGGACAGTTGACTTGTTATTCACCTGTTATTGGTGTCCACGACGCTAGATGTGGATTGTCTGCCTCACTCTAAATACATTTTGGACACCTCTTCTTCTGGTTGAACATCTCTCTGGTGACATCCCTGATGGAGCTGTTGATGTACAAGTATTGAATGGTTATGTGCTGCCTTCGGAAATGATCTCCAATTTACCCTGCATATATTTTATATGTGGATAATTATTGGTATGTTGTCTCCTCCATTAGAATGTGAGCTCCTGAAGGCAGGAACTGGTTTTTGCCTTCTGTATCTCCAGCCCTTAGCACAGTGTCTGACACATGGCACATAGTAATAAATACTTACTGACTGACTGACTGCCCTATTCACATCCATTATTCACCCAGCTCACCAAAATTTACACTTTTCTGTGATATTTTCATTCGCCTTCCATCATGGTAGAATAGGTGCCTTTGAGCATAACTTGAAGACATACATTGCTGTCTGCATCAGGGATAAATTTTTACTAAAATTTATGTTGTCATTTTGTCTGATTTCTTCTGACTTTGGGGTCCACTAGACTATAAAAACTAATACAAGAACCCAAATACCTGAGGTTTTAGTGTATCACTGATTCGCTCTGTGACCTTGGGTCCACTGCTAGTCACCCAGGCTTAATTTCCCAGTTTATAAATAAGAATAAGTAATAATATTATACCCCCCAATCTCCTCCCCTAGGCTATTTCAGGGATAACTTTAGCTCTCTAAAGTGATTCTAATTTATCCAAAAGAAGTTGTAACCAAAATTTAAGATCCTACTAGTGTCTAATGGATGTTGAGCTCCTCAAAGGCAGGGACAATTTTTTTTTTGGCTTTCATTGAATCCCTAGTGTTAGTACAGTGTCTGGCACATAGCGGATGCTTAATAAATGTTTACTGACTGTCAATGTGATATTATATAAGCTTACTGATTTTGCTTCTAATTTAGATGTCAGACACCTGCAAAATAGTGAATACTATTTATCTATGAACACAAAACAAGTAGGAAAGGTAGGTCCAGCTCCTATTCACAGAGTGGAATCACATCTGCATTTTTATGAGTGTTTGGTAGCTAGAAACTCTAGAGATGAAACTAGAAACTAGAAACTCTGTTATGCCATGTTTAATCACACTTTCCCAGTTGTACGTTCTTAGGTGTGGAACACCACATTCCTTCACCTCTAAAAGCCTCAAGCCTGGCCAAGTTTCTTTCACTTGCACTGACTGTAAGGGCAAAAAGGGAGAAGAAAGTACTACATGTACATAAAAACATTTCTCTAGAGATAAAGACAATATTTCCTTTGGCTCCTAGAAAATATCTTTCAGAGGGGCAAAGAAGTTCACTTTAAGAAAACTAAATTCTGGCCCAGGTTCAAAAAGCAGTCCTACTATAAAGGAAATCATGGAATAGAGGCATGGATTTTTTTTTTATAAGCTGAGTATATACTCTATACTCTGTTCTTGTCAGACCACATCCCCCATCTTGTGTTTTGTCCTGAGCACCATAAGCAAGAACATTGATAAATTGGAGGAGGGTGTCCAGGATGATGAAAAGTAGAGACCGTGGCTGTATGAGGTTCAGTAGAAAGAGCTAGGATCATTAAACCTGGAAACTAGAAGGGGGGATGAGAGGGAAGAGACACAGACATTGCACTCTTCAAGTATTTGAATGGCTGTCATATATGTCTTCTTCTTGGCCCCAGAGGGAAGAACTTGGAGCAACTTGTGGATGTTACAGAGACAGATTTCAGCTGGATAGATGGAAAATGTTTGTAAAATTATTACTGTCTAAAAAATGTGATGGGATATCTTCAGAAGCAGAGGATTTCTCATCCCAGGAAGACATTAAGTGGAGGCTGGATAACCACTTGTTTGGAGATTTTTAGAGAAGATTACTATTCAAAATTAGCCAAGATGGGTTGTGAATTACCTACCAGTTCCAAGATTCTGTGATATCTTATTCTAGTAAGAGAGACCTTTTTTTAGCTGTATCCTCTAAAATTATTTTTTAATGCCAAACATCAAATAACATAAAACATTAAATAATCTTGGAGTAGTTGAAGGATCCTTGTATGTGCCCAGTTACTTACATATTGTTTCTACCATTAAAATATGAACCCAAAAAAGACCATTAAAAAGGACTCATTGACTCACCTTTCTTTTCTTCTTTTAAAAATGTATTATTACTACCTTCTCCTGCCCTCTCCAGCCCCAGCTCTTCAAAAAAAAAGAGGAAAAAAAAGGCTTCCCTTGTAGGGATGCAGTGTGGAAGAGTAGAAAAGGCAATGGATGTGAAAACTCAGAGAACCTGGGTTCAAATCCAGCCTGTGATACTAGCTGTGTGATCCTGGGCAAATTACTTAATCTCTGTCTGCCTGGATTTCCTCATCCCTAAAATGGACATTGTAATAGCACCTACCTTATCAGGGCTGTTGTGAGGATCAAGTCAAATGAGATGGTATATCTGCAAAAACCCCTTCTCAGGTTTCCTGGTATGTTTCCTCTACGATCATTTCCAATTTATCTTATATCCTGTATGTATGTAGTTTTTTGTCCGTTTTCTCCCCATTACACTGTGAACTCATCAAGAGCATGACTGTCTTTTGCCTACCTTTGTATCTCTAGGCTTAGCACTATACCTAGCAAAGTAAATAGGTGCTTAATAAATGCAGTTTACACTACTTATGTAAAAGTGCTTTGCAAAACTTAAAAAAAAAATTTAAATGTTAGCTATTATTATTAGCTCCCAATTCATTAATGAAAGATTCTCAGCATCTGGAATGCCTTTTTATTTTCAGTTCTAGCATAAATAAATCCCTGTGCCCTTTGCACTAAAATTGGAAAACTCCAGGAAAGGCTAGCAAAGCAGAGAACTCCATTAAGAATCTAGATAGCTCAGACCAAAACAAAAGCTTTCATTTGAAATATTCAAATAATTGAGGCAAGAAACATTTTCTTTGGTCCTGGCTTGAATTCCTAATGTAATTGCTCAGTTCTCAGAAATATCCTTCCCAAGCCCAGATTCCCCCAGCCGCTTATTGAGCCAGATAGGTGCCTTAATGGCCTGAGAGTGTAAGACTCCATACACACCAAGATGAGCATCTTTGCCTCAAGGCAGGCATAAAATAAGACATCTACTTTGCAGATATATAATTATCTACCCTCAACTAACGATTCAATAACAAAGACCAACCTTTATCTAGGTTTCCTGTCTCCTGAGTTCAGAACTTTTATAATTAGCTCTGATTCAAGCAGCAAACAAGTAAACAACAACAACAAAATAATAAAGAAACCCTCAACTGGGAAACTATGGTGGAATTCTGGGTTCCAAAGTTTCACTCAACATCCATTCCATAACCATTTATTAAACTTTCCTATTGGAAAGTATTATAAGTGTTGTGGTAGAGACTAAGACGTGGTTCCTGACCCCAAGGGTCATAGGGTCAAAGATTTAGAGTTGGAAGGGATTATAAAGGTCATCTAGTTCAACCGACTTCTTTTGTAGAAAAGGAAACCTGAGTCTCGGAGAGGTTGTCATTTGTCCACAGTCATGGAATTTTAGCTGGCACTTGAAGAAAGCCAGAAGGCAGAAATGAAGAGGGAGAGTATTCCAGGTTTGGGGGACAGCCAAAGAAAATGCTCATATTCAGGAGGTGGAACGGGTCTTATTCAAGGAACAGTAAGGAGGTCAGTGATACTAGATTACGGAATACATGTAAGGGAGTAAGGTGTGAAGAAGACTGGAAAGCTAGCAGGGGCCTGGGTTAGGAAAAGCTTTGAATACAAAATAGAAGGTTTTATATTTGATCCTGGAGCTGATAGGAAGCAACTGGAGGTTATTGAATAGGGGAGTGACATAATCAGACCTGTGCTTTAGGAAGATCGTTTTGACAATTGAGTGTAGGATGGACTGGAATGAGGAGAAATTTGAGCCCGGCACATCCACCAACAGGTTATTGCAATAATTCAGGGGTGAAGTGATGCGAGCTTGCATTAAGGTGGTGGCAGCATTAGAGAGAATTTTTGAGAGGTATTAGATAAAACATTTGACATATATTAGATAAAATTAACTGAATTTGGCAATAGATTCAGTATAGAGGATAAGAGAGTGAGGAGGCAAGGATGACAGCTAGGTTTTGAGTCTCAGCGACTGGGAGGATGGTGGTACCCTCTGCAGTACTAAAAAAAAAAAATTAGGAATAGGAGAGGACCTGAAGGAGGGAAAGATAATGAATTCAGTTTTAGAAAAGCTGAATTTAAGATGTTTGAGTTTGAGATGTAGGAGGAGGCAGCTGTAGCGCAGAGGAAGAAAAATAAACATGGGATTGGAAGTCAGGATACCTGAGTCCAAATCCAGGCTCTGTTATTTACCATCTTTGTGACCTTGGGCAAATCACTTAAACTGAAGCTTAATCACTGAAGCTCTCTGAGCTTCAGTTTCTGCGTCTGTAAGATAAAGGATCAAACTAAATAATCTCTAAGGTGCCTTTCAGCCTTACATCTGCAATTGTATGACCCAAATTACAATTTCAGTTCTTCTGACACTGCCTGTGTAACCTTAAAAAGATAATTTTCATTCTGTAGGCTTGAGTTTCCTCATGTCTATAAGGGAGATAATGGACTCATTTTTCTCTAGTGTCTCATCTCTAAATCTTATGATCTTATCCAAAATAATGTCATTTTTTAAAAAGTAGAAACTGGAAAACAGTTGGCTTTGATAAAATCCTCAGGCTTCATCTAGTAATAAATAGAACCATACCCCAGAAAAGGACTAGGTCCCTTTCATTTTAATGACATGAATTCTCAATAGTTACCAGGTGTATAGGTGTTTTCAGAATCTGGAAGGAATAATAATAATAGTAATAATAATAATAGTAACAATAGCCAGCAGTTATATAGTACCTTCTATGTTCATTCCAGGCACTGTGCTAAGCACTCTACAAATGTTATCTCATTTGGGGAGGGGTGCTGCTTTTGGTGAAAGAGGAAAAAAAACTGGAAACGATGTATTCCCATCAATTGTGGGAATGGCTAAACAAATTGTGGTCTATGAATATTATTAATAACATAATATAATGTTGTCTTATATTATATTATAGCATATTATTTCACTGTAAGAAACAAAAAAATGAGGAATTTAAAGAAACAAGGGAAGATTTGCATGAACTTAATCAATAAACATTTAGTGTCTCCTATGTGTTA